TAATTGTTTTTGCATTATTTAGTATTTTGTAAGTTTCCTTCTGAGGAAGGAAATCTAACTTACTTTTGCTTTTACTCTTATATATTTTAATTTGCAAGTTGTTGAGCTTCCTTAAGGGAAAGGAAAGCTTAGTCTATAAATAGACTACGTTATCACTTGTACTGGACACTTTTGACTGAGGAATGAATATTAAAATCTAAAAGCTCTCTCTTTCGCTCTCCCCTTTTCAAAACTCAAGATAAGTGATGCCAAACACACACACACAACACACACACACACACTGATTTGAACAGAGTTGGAAAAGAGAGATACATCAGGAAACAGGTGGGAGATTGAGAACAAAGAGGGAGAGAAAGATGGAATACAGAGAGAAGAAGAAATGAGAAGATGAAGGCAGAGCAGTGGAAGGGGAAGGAGGCAGATCTCCACTCTTTGTTCTGATGTATCTCTCTTTTCCAACTCTGTTCAAATCAATATGTGTTTGTGTGTGTGTGTGTGTGTTTTTTGCATCACTTATCTTGAGTTTTGAAATTCTTTCTTAGAGACCCAAAAGACAAAAACGCTTGAAGTGCACAAGAAAAAAAAACATTTAGGACACAAAAATTAAATGTCTTCTTGTCTGAGTCATCTAGAAATAAAATTTTAAATTTTTAATTTGAGTAATTAAATACAAATGTCTTGAGGAACTTACTTGTCTCTAGGACCACATGGGAGACGGAATTATATAGGCTCCACAGCTACCACTGCCATCAGGGGGACAAGACAACATCTCAATGGGCTCTCCATAGCTTGAATCTACTTCTGGTGATGTTATTTGTCTAGTTAGTAGATCAACTCGGTATATTCCCTTTGTGTTTGCAAGGCGCGAGCAAGTTCCACCACCATATTTCACCTGAATTTCAACTCAAATCTTAAAGTTTTGGACAATATAAATGGTCTTTTTAGATCTGACTTAAGCTTAGTTCAGCTTATTAGAGAGAAATATTTGCACAGTTTTAGGGCTTGTTTGGCTTTGTTCTCATTTTGTTTTTTTAAAAACTATTTTGTAAACCAATTTTTTTAAAAAAAATTAAAATGAAAATATTTAATTATGTTAATTTGAAGACAATTATATTGTTAAAAAATGGTTGACAATGGTGATCACCAATAGTTAACAATGATAACCTATGATAGAGTTGGTCATAATTGAAGGTAATTTACAATAGTCAATGTAGTGTGTTTTAAAAATAGGAAAAATTATATTAAAGTCCTAGACAAGAAAATTAATTACTGCAAGGTCCATTGACAATGCAATTTAGTTCAGTTGTCAATGGCCCTTGCAGTAATTAATTTCCTTATGTGGGACCTAACTGTAATTCTCCCTTAAAAATAAAAAGAGAGAAAAGAAAACGAATTCAATGCTAAGATGTTTCCAATTTTTCTTTTTAAAAACAACAAAATATAAACAGTTTTGAAAACATTAAATCTTGAACATTTACCCAATGAATTTTATTGTTGTTATTATTGTTGTTGTGTTGTTATGATTTAAAAACAGAGAAAACAGTTTTTGAAAATAGAAATCAAATAGACCATTAATCTATTGATTCCCAGAATCCTAGTCTTCTATACCACCATATATTCTCTTGAAAAAAACAGTCCCCTGCCGGTAATATCACATGAAGTGAAGTCGGAGAGAATGTTGGGAGCTTCTCTTTATGACTTATGATGTTGGAGTTCAACTAAGTATGTTTGTTGAACTTGTCTTCTTGTATATACATGTGGAGTTTATATATTTTGATTGATTAAATCTAAATCTTAGTCAAGTAAGGTTAACACAGATGATAAAAGTGGGATGGGATATTATTAGAAGTCTAGTGTTCAACCCTCTTGATGTAACAAAAAAATAAATCAAACAAGTTATGTATAACAAACCTAATAAAGAATGGTATATGCCCCACATGGAAAGCTCAAAGTTATGCCTGAAATGTCTGTCTGTTGAAGTTAACAAAGTACCTGACCACCAGTATCAGAATCTCTCCCAAGTTCCATGTTTTCTCCTCTTACCCATCCATGAATGCTACAGGAAGAAATTACTATAATTATAGATTTTGAAAAATTGACAATATTATGGTCATTCTACCCATGACGGACCCAGAAAAAATAGATTGTCCATGGGGCAAAATTTTTACTCAGGATAAATAGTATTATTTGTAAAAAAAATATTAAATTAAAGAAATTTATTTTTAAATTAGTAGATTTGTTAGAGGATAGGGGACACATCTGAGGGGAAATTGGAAGTTTTCTTTTAAAAGAGGGGAGCAATTGAAATTTTCTAGGAGGGCCAATTGAAATATTTTTGGTTATTATATGTAATTTTTTCTTGCTTTGTGGGGGCAACATAACTTAATTCAAAGTCGGTAATCCGGGCAAAACTTGATGGACTAACTCAAATCCACTTGAAAAAAATTTAGGGCTGGCCTTAAGAAAAAAAAAAATTTTATGTTCAAGGGCCCAAAAAAAATTCAAACCAAGCCCAATCAGGTTTGGGCTTGGGCACAAATACTCCGATAAAAAAACATATACATTAAAAAAATATATAAAATATAATAAATAATGATAATTATTTAATTTTTAGGTTCATTTCATACTAAAATATCATATATTTGAGTCTATACATCATTTAAGATCCAAAAAAAATATTTTTTTATAAAATAAAAGAATTAATTTTAGAGAAAAAATTAATTAAAAATAATTTTAAATATAAAATTCATGTATTCAAATTGCCCTAAGCACGAATGAATTCAAGCTGAGCTTGGCTATCCAAGCTTTTCAAAAAGTCGAGTAGATTCGGATTTAGGCCTATTCAAGTTAAGTTTATTCAACCGAGCCTGAACCCGACTGGCCCGCTTATAATTTCCACCTCTACCTAATTCTATAAAATATCAAATTTATTTTACTTTTAATTTCTTTTGGTGAACTAGGACTAATATTCCCATGCCTGATCACTTTTGTTATATGCTTTGATGATAGAGTGAACATGATACCTGATCAAGACAATGTAAAGGTTCCTAGACTTATTATCATCCGACCAAAGTTGCATTTCGGAACTGATCCTGGGAATGTCCTTCCTAGATTCTGAAGCATTATTGACATCTTTCTCTTTTTCACCTTCTGACAATTCTGACAGGTCATCAGCAGCATCATTGCGGCCTTGTTCGCGCTCAATTCGCCGTTTTGCGAGCTTCTGCGCATCATCCCATGCAATCTGCAAACAATGGTCATATGGTACAATCTAGTTATGAATGTTTAGGCGTGATCAATATTCCCAATACTATAGAACAATACTAAGGGACTAAAAATTTTATTATTCTAAATTTATTTAAATAAGAAATAATATAGAACAATTCAGAACTTAAAATAGAATTGTGTTGTGCATAGCTTATGAACTTGCATATATTAGATTGGATACATATGCTTATAAATTTGTGGTAAGCTTATAGACACATGCATTATAGAAGCTACTGCTTTTTTAGATGCAGATCAAGGATTAAAATTTGAAAATCATCTTTGTGCTTTTGATTTTGCTCTTGTGTTGTAAACCCAACATTGTGAAGCAGTTTTGCAAAGTTTTATCAAAATTATATCAATTCAAATATCACTGTCTAATATCTTATGCACAGTATAGTCTTGTCAATTGTCAAAAGTTAGTTAAAGATCACTGTCAATATCTTATGTATGTATGTGTGTATGTATTGATTATTATCATCATTTTACTTTATGGCACATCAATTAGATCCTAATTTTCATATTCCTAACCCATTTAGTTCCCTTTTCCTTTTGCAGAAATGCAAATGGGTTACTATGAATCAGCTATGAACATATCAAGGGCTCATTTGGTACAAGATGGGGTTGAAATAAAGAGAATATAAATAAGAAAATAAATATGAGAAGCTCTCTTTCCACACAAAAAAAAAAACATTTCATCCTTTTCCAAATACAATAAAAATGTTTTCCCTCACATTTTATCTTTTCTCAAAATATAATCCCTTTTCCATGAACCAAATACATTTTATCTTTTCTAATTCCAAAGTGTATTGGCAATATTGCAAACTAAAGTAAAAATAAAGTAGTCGATGCCATAATTTCTTTGGTTTTTCTCAAAAATATTTCAGACTAAGACGATGAAAATTAACCTATCATGGCTAAAGATTCCGAAAAAAGCTCTAATTTTTAATTCATTTTACACTTTCTGCGCAAAAAAAGTTACCAAAATCCTTTTGAAGGTATTATTGTCATATAGCTATGAACCAAGTTATTTGTCAACATTTTCGAATAAGGGAAAAAGAAGCTTTCTCAAGTAATAATTTCTGGCACTAGGCTTGCTCCTTTTTAAAAAGCTTTCGTTCTCCACTTCAAAGTCACTTTTGTAGATGCTCTAGTCTTTTCGCATACACTCCAATATCTAACAATCTCTAGAGCATATAGTGCTAAATGTATTAAAGTATTTCAAATGATGATGATGATAAGTTAGATATTGTCATGTCAAGCCAGCTCGAATATTAATGCCAGGTTAAGATCTAATCATGTACAACATTTTATTTCCCAAGCTTTTTTAATCAAATCCAAACGAGAAAACCACCTAATATGTATATCTTATGTATTTACAATCATACATGCATACATACTTATTTACACACACACATATGGGTTAAAGATTACTTTGCCATTATCTTATCATGTGTCCATTATTAGTGAGCCTTATATTAAATTTCTTTTAATATTTTTATCATAAAATATGTGGATTCAGGGTGTCTACTAACCCTTAGCAGTAAAGCTGAAAAGCAAAAATAATCAATGACCCAATAATTTATAATAAAGAATTAAAAAAAAAAAGCAATTTGGGGCTCACTAACAGTAAAAAATGGCAAGTTAATAGTAGCATGATGAGAGAGGAAATTTTTAATGTTTAGAGATAGAATTAACCCATAATTAGGTTTAAGGTGTAAAGTGACCTTTTGAATAAAGATGAGAGACAAAAATGATCATCAACCCTTGTGTGTATGTTTGGCAAAATTATATTGAAGTTCCACATAATCAATAAATATTGTAATAATTAATTTTTTATATGTGAGATTTGAATGTAATTTTTTCTATATATTTCAATGCATAGGTTGAAACTTACTCTCAATGATACTGCTATCATGTGGTTGGACCCGACCATTAAAAAGAAACAGGTAATTCTTTAAAATTATTTCTCTTCACATTTGGTTATAAGGACCTGTTTAGTATAAAATAAAAGAAATGAGAAATAACTTTAAGGAATTACCTGTTTCTTTTTGCGGGTGAGATGCCAAATCCTCCAACACATATTCTCCATCCTATTACTCCGATCTCTGCTGTTTCTTGTTGCTATTACCTGCTCATTCAAATACCTCATTAAGTGTTACTACACCATCTAAGAACATTAATTGCAAATTAAAATTGTTAATGCATAAAATTTCAGGAAAAGACCATGGTCTTTTGTTGGGATTAAAAATTTTTGGGTTAATTTTTTGCCCTCATTTTTAAAATTCTTGTAACTCAACTTCAATATTTTTAATGCTTATCTTTAATCTCACTTATGACCAGAGAAATATATGACGTGCAAGAATTTTTAAGTTATCAGAAATTAACTGCAACACCCAAAACTTGCGTGTAGAATTGTGTTAGGAAAAACATAAATGATTAAAAAATAAGTTATTTTTAGATAATTTGGAGATTTTGTGAAAAGAAAACATTATTTTATATTTGGTTACAATAATAAAAAGTAATTATTTGTTAGTTATTTTTAAATTTTATTATATATTCCTCCCATTTAAAAATATAAAGTATTTTTTGAGAAGTTTGATATTCAAAAATGTAGAGCATTTTTAGTTTTTTAAGGTGTAATCATTATCTTTTTTTTTCAAAAGTGTCCGTAGTGATAAATATAAAGTGTTTAATAAAGGTAAATACAAAAAGATAGGGTTAATTGAAAAGTAGGTAACTACTTTATTAAACGGTGAGATTTAGTTAAAAATACCTTACATTTTTTAACAGAGGGAGTTTTCCTTTGTTCTGTTTTATAAAAATAATTTATTATTATATTATTTTAAAATTTTATGATATCTTTACATATCCCTTCTCTTTAAAATACCCTTATCATTCATTACATTAGATTGTTTTCAAAAGTTATCCAAAGTAGTTTTTAAAGTAATAAGAAATATTTTTTTAATTCTGATTATTTTCAAAAATTTAAACAAATATCATAAAATCTCACAAAAAACTTTTTAAAAAAATAAATAATTTTTTATAAAATAAACTAAAGAAAACCAGCCCTAAAATTATAAAAGTTTTAGAGGAAAAGAAAGAATCATGTTTTAATTCCCCCAATATAATTAAATATTATAAAATTTATTGACAACTAAACATATTAAAATGACAATTTAAAACATAGAAAAATAATGACTTTTAATTGTGTTATTTTCTGTTGTTATTTTGCCGTACTCAGATGTGAATAAACTTTATAATATTAATTAAATGGGTTACTTGGAAGTTTGGTACAATTCTCCTTAAAAAATTACTATTGTGGCTTTCTTCTATTTTTTTTCTTTTTCACAATAAGTCGTACTGATCTTTCAGTCTAAACGCAATGCCATCCAATTGTTGAAATTGCAAAAAGACTACCATTCATTTCATCACTAGGCAATTTCACTCTTTTTTTTTTCTTTTTCATTTCAGCCAACAAATAATAGGGAATATCTCCCTGAAATAAGTTTCTCCCAATTAAGTTATTATATATATGAGAATTATAATTTAAATTCTCAACTACTTATTTAAGTGGCGAAAATCTCTACCATTCGCGTCAATTTTAAATGGTATATATATTTTAAAAATTAAAGAAAATAATTTGTAATTTCAATAAATTAATATACTGTTTATATATATAATTAAATAAAAAAAACTAATCGGAAGAATAGAGGATAGTCTCAGCCACATGCTTAAATTACGAAAGCTTTTAACGCTCATACCAATTTTAATTGGTATATATATTTTTAAAATATATGAAAATAATGTGTACTTTCAATAAAAATTAAGAGACATATATATATTACTTTAAAAAAAAACCCTCATAAAAGGAATACAGGATAGTCTCTTTTCTTTCCACCATTAAAAATTAATCAAACAATAGTTATAGTTAATTCCAAACTTAATATAAATAATGACTAAAATTCATATAATTAAAATGGCAAAATAATAAAGTTAAAGAGAAACAGCAGATCGAGCAGAGAAACACAAACCTTAACCCAAGTTCTGTAAAGATCAAATTCATCAAAGCTATTGATAACTTCTTCAACGAAATACTTTGTAGGACTGAACAGCTTGTTGTTGTTGATGCTGTTATCATCATCTTTTTCTTCTTCCAATTTTCTTTCTTCTTCAAACCTAATCATTGATCTGTGCTTTCCATCAAAACTATTATCAGTTGATGATCTCTTCCTGATGATGGAGCTGCTTCTTCCTCCCACATCCAATATTGCCTCCAAATATCCATTCAACCACTCGTTCACTGCCATATTAATTTCTGCGTTTGGAAGCCGAGAAAGTTACTGCACTTCTTCAACTTTCTTGCATCTGTTTGGAGCCTCAGAAAGAGGAACTGAGGAAGGATATGGTTTTTGGAGTTACAAAGAAAGGGCTGTTTCTTGAAGCTAAGCCAAGTTGGTCTCATCCTGCAGCCACTGGCTTATAAATGGTCTTTTTTTTTATTCATACCCAAAAAAAAGGTTAATTTTTATTGAATTTTATGAAAAATTAATATTTTGGTACTATAGCTTTGACTCAGTTAAAATTTAGTCCTTAAATTAAAGTTTAACTTGGTACGACTTAATCTTGTAATTTGACACAATTCAATTCAATCCCGATATTTTAAAAAAATAAAACTATAAAAACTAAAGTTATTTTTTGAAAGTGAGGGACCCAATGTTTTAAATAATTAAAACTATAAAAACTAAGTTACACTTAATCAAAACCAAGTCAAAACTTTAAGAAGTACTCCCTTCAATTCAAAATACAAGTATTTTTTTATCAATTAACATTAGCACAAAATATAAGTAACTTTGTAAAAAAAAAAATTCCCATTTTTTCCTTGTATTTATTAACCTAAATATGTATGTAAAGTTATATCTTACTCATCATAAAGTGCATTAGTAATTGAGACTTAGGAAAAAATAAGAAAAACAATATATATCTTTATAAGAATGATAATTTTATCAATATGCAAATTTTTTTAAAAAAAAACTGGTTTTATATTTTGAACTGGAGTTTTCATCTAATCAAATTAGTTCAAGGGCTGAACTTTAATTAAATCAAAATTACATGACCAAATGATTATGGAGTGAAAACTTTTCCTCATATTAAATTTCATTACACTATTGTTATGTACTTCCAAAATCTGCAAAAACCTTTTAAAACATGAATGAATCATTATATATAAATACCTTCTTTACTTTTATTTAACCAACCTTTATTTATGTATTTTAACGAGAAGTCTATGCTCACATTAAAAGTATAAGGAAGGTTTACATAATGTTTAACAAAAATTCAAATAATTTTAATAAAATTTAATACACACACATTGAAAAAATGTAATATTAAGTTTCTTTTTTCAGCAGGGAATAGAAACGAATCTTCTAAATTTAATGTGCTGATCAGAATATTAAAAACAACGGGTGGCTTTTATTCTCATTCTCTTACTGCTTGTACCTAAAGAGAAATATGAACCGAATATTCTTAATTGGTTCTTTGTTATTATTATTATTCTCAGGCCTCCCAATACCTGCATTAATTAATTTCATAATGTGTATATATTCTTCTATAAATTAAATTTAGAGTAAACTACATTGACTTCCCATCTAGTTTACCTTAATTGTGTGTGTGTTTCTTCTATTTTAAAAACTTATATAAATCTATCTTAAAATCAATAATTACAAAACACAAACCTCTCTTCTACTCTTAAAATTTTATTTTCATTCACTCAATTAACTTTGCAATCTTTAATTTACTGTTAATTCACATATATTGGATCTAAATATCTATCTTTAAATATAAATATTAACTAAAATCATTCAAGTTACCCCTAAAATTTAATGGATATTTTTTTTACCTTTTTATACATATTTAAAAAATTTATTTATGAAACATTATTTGTTTAGTATTTTATACACCAGTTAGCTAAAATAATATGTTAAACACCCATGTATAAAAAAATTAATGAAACAGGGATTAAAATGTAATAAAATATAAATTATTCAACATAATTTATATTTATTTTTCAATATATTTTATAATTTTAAAATTATTCTTTAAAAAATTTTGACATAATTATTTAAAGTTCCTTTAATTGGGGGGAAGTAGATGATTAAATTATAAATGAAAATTAATAATTTTAAAACTTTCAACATAATTGCATATAAAAATTAAGTGTAGTTTTAGAGAAATGGAGAGAAAATCAATGTCTTAAATTTGACTTTGCAAAACGGGAAATATGTAATGGGTTCGATTTGAATTTTGATTCAATCGGATTTATTTTATTTTTTATGTCATATGATTAGTGTAGGCCTCAAATGTTTTAAAAATTTTAAGAAATGAAGATAACGTATATTACTCATACGTAAATATAACTACTTATTAGAGTTTTTCTATTATATATATAATCTTGCAAGTTAAGAAAAATTACTCTCAGATTTAATGAAAGTAATTTAAATACAGAAAAATTTCATGAAATCATAAAATTATTTTGAAATCTCATTATTTATTGAAGTTGTCAACTATTACTGAATAGTTGTTAATTATTGCTATTTAGCTGTCAACTAAATAATTTTACTAACAATTATTCAACATTTGACAAAGTTAATATAACAAATTGACAGCTTTAGCAAAGGTTATAAAATTTCAAAGTAATTTTTTAATTTTATGAGATTTTTTATATTTAAAGTTTTTATGTGAGATGTAAAAGTGGTTTTTTCTTCTTCTTCTTGTTTTTTTTTTTTTAAGAGTAGCTTCTAATGTGAAAATTACTGTGTTGGTTCCATTTGCTGCACGGAGTCTTATAACTTCATGACTTTAAAAATACTAATATAATATGTTCAGGTTTTTATAATTGCTTATAGATTTTTTCCAAATTTTAATATCTTTTCTTAATGGTAAAAACAAAAATTTGTCATGGCTGTGTGATTGACTTGATAATATTCAAGCATTGTCCGATTTAATTGGAGATAGCTCTTTGCATTTTTTTATTAGTTGAAATTTTCTTTACATGCACACAAACTCAAACTCGAGACATTATAAACGGTCATAATCTCTTGTACAATGACCAACACCAATTGGCATATTTATTTTTTTTCTATGGTTGTCATGTTTATTTTGTAAGATATAAAATCCAATCACAAAAACGTATCATCAACTAAAGAGATTTCAATAACCTCATGGTGGCCTAAAAAATAAGCTCATACTATTTTTGTATTGTATCAGGTATTACTACTTTTCACTCAAACTAATTTAAACTCTCATTATGTGAAACCGTTATTACCAACGATGGTTTGTATCTTGAAAATACATTTAATATATTTATGTAACTCAATTACATATTCTAAAATTCAAATTCAAAATTTCAAAATACTGACTCAACTCGACTAATTGAACCTAGCACCTCTAGATAATAATCTCATAGTATTATTGAGCCAAAATACACACTTTAAATTAATGTTGACTTTTTTTTATTTTGATTTAATTCACATCAATTTAGGTCAGGTTCATCAATTGGAATGATTCGATTTTATGCACCATTCTTTCTAACCAATTATAAATGTTTCTTTTTCATTATAAATACCACCTTCTGGTGAATTATCTCACCTAATATTAATTAAATTAACTAATTCAGTTAAAAGAATATTTGGCTTAATAGTACTTTGCCTTGAAGAATAAATGCAAATATTGGAAAAATCACTTAAAAGAAAGTAACGTTATACGCCACTCAAAGAGAGAAGAATAACAGATAATATTCTTTTTGAAGATGAGGAATGTGGTCACTTTATTTTTAACTTTTTTGTGGTCTTGAAATTGACATAAAAATAACTATACTTGTATATTGCTATTTCTTTTGTTGTTTTCCACAAAAAAGATATACTTTTGAATATTATTAATGAATATTGTTTCATCCGTAGAAGATGTAATAACATTTTTAACAAATTGTTATCAAAAAAATGTTTCTAGCAAAACAAAGCCAAATTGTATAGCATTTAAATTTCATCTAATTAACCTTGTATTTTATTAATTAAAATCATAGATAAAAACCAACAAAAATCAATAATAACTATTGAAGATCATAACATTTTGAAATTACGTTTAAATACCATGATCTTTTTCTACTGTTTACGAATTATTTTTATGACTAAACTACAGTGTCTCTAAAAATAAGTGACTAAATATATATGTTAGATAAGGGCATTTTAGTCAAAACATTATTTTTAAAACTGAAAAAAATGATCATGATTTTTAAATTCAATTTCAACATTTTGAGGTCCTAAATAGTTATTACTGATTTTCACATATCTGTAATTAATTTATATTTTTCCTTTTTCTTTCAAAATTTCATCTAATCCTAGAAAGAAAATCCAAGCTTTCTATATTCTCATTTTATTTGATTTCATATTAAGAACAAAATCTTTATTTTTATTGTCGCCCATTGGTTAATAATTATTCCTCAATAGTGTTGCTTTTGAAATTAATATTTTTATCATCATGAATTAACAATGCAAATTATCCAAATTTTCAAGGTAGAGTAAAAGATAATGGTTTGGGGTTAAAGGTGACATTAAATGAAATATATACTCTTAATCTACCAAGACATGAGTTTTTTTTTTATTTGTTTATACTTTATCATGAACATGGGCAAAACAGAAATTAAATAATTTGCTGCACAATTAATAATTTCAAAATCCGTCAACAATGCATTTACTCTATATTTTTTATTTTATTTGAATATTTATTAAACAAAAAATTTATAAAAAAAATGGTTGGAAGATTGTATATTTTTACATAATATTTCTCTTTAAAATGAAAAATATCAAAGTTAGAAAGAAAAAACATACTCTCTCCGTTCAAAAGGGTAAGACATTTTTAACCAAATTTTATCCCTAATATAGTAGTTATTTATTTTTAAACTAACAATATCGTTTCATATGTATCCCCATTTAATAGGGTGTTTCAATATAAAATAAATATAAAGTAATTTATTTATCAGAGATACTTTTAAAAAAATAATAATAATTACACTTTGAAATATTAAAAATATTTTATATTTTTTAATGAAGGAAATAATATATATTTAAAATATAAATTTGTGAACACTGAACAGCCATTCATTCTTTGTGTTAGTGCATCTGATACCTAAATTTAACAGAAGGCCATCTATTACGTCAAAAGCAACATTAGGGAAAAGCTTAACACTAAATTTTAACTATTGAACAACGTGAAGTTTTAAGAAATAGAATCAAAATAAAGTGGTGGAAATAATACAAAAAAAAAAGGAGCAAAAGAAAAGATAAAGTGCACTGCATGAAATTTCTTTTTTAAAAAATAAAACAATAAGAAATTAACGCAAAAATCAATCAAGGGTCCTAAAAGCATATGCGTATTCCTTTGG